AACCACAGTATTAAATCGTTCGGCTTCAATCACCGACAATCATTTAAATTTTAATCATTAAATAACAAAATTTCAATTATTATTTAACACCTTTATAATTTTACTTTACTGTGTAACAAAGTCACTTCTTTGTGCCTAAATTTAATAACGAAATCATACTTCTATGAACAAATTGCATCATCGTAGACGACCACATTCGACACCAAATAAAACACGATACTTTTCGGCTCGAAACTAAAGCAAAATTTACTCACTCTACCGTAGCGTCGACTCGTACAGCTGCCCCGTCGAATTCCCGGAAGAGAAGCGCCGATCTGCAATTACGAATACAAATTAATTATTAAAATCAAGCGCGGTATCGTTAAATGTGCGATATCACAGATCCATCGCCAAAGGCCCGAGTCATGAATATACGATTTCTAATTGTAACAATCTATATGTATATATATTTACAGAATATTCGGTTGGAATATTCTGAAATTAAGAATATTTGCACCATGTGTGCCATCTGCCAATTTGTATATCACACAAATGTCTCCGCGAACTCACAGTTTCTAGGTTAGAGAGGCGCAAAAGTGCAGAATCGCCCCAGCATCCCCTTAACCCTTTGCACTCCGCATTATATATTTCATCCATTTTCATCTATTGGTTTGGACTTGAAAGAACGTCGAGTGAGGCTCGACAAAGGAGCTCCCGAGACAAAAACTGACGTCGCGTCACCCTCGACATAGGAGGGCAAAGGGTTAACGCAGGAATAGCGCAGGAATAAGTCCCAGTCTACAATAGATGATTTAAGCCCTAAGCTTTAAGAAATTGGCCAATCACGGTCAAGTATGAGAAGAATGCGCGACTGTGATTAGTCAATTTCTTAAGGCTTAAGGCTTAAATCTCTATTGTAGACTGGGACTAATTGTGCTCACCAGAGGGTTGCTCCGGCGTCGCCCGATGCCACCTGGGCCGCCGCTTCCTCTCAGATTCCTCCATTTCGCGCTCGGCACAATTCGCGGCACTCGCGGAGAAGAAGCAAATCGTATCCGAGTAACGCGCGACGCGGCGCACTCCCGGCGTTAACCGACGCGAGAGAAAGAAACGCGCGCCGCCGCGATGGCGTCGCGCGAAATGGCGGGAACGCGGAGATACGCGAGGCCCGACGCGTCTCGCAACCGAGCGCGAGCGCGTTCGACGGCGCGACCTCGCGCCAACATCTCTTTCGCCGCGCGTCACGCGTCGGAAAAAACTGTCTCTACACGCGCGAAGAGACGCGAGTTGAAACTGGAGCTCGACGTACCCGCGGCGCAGCGAGGATCCCGGCTTCCCGCGACGAGATTCCCGGCCGGCGTTTGTCGCGGGACTCGCGCGTCTCGCGGGATCGCCGAGACGCGCGAGTCTCGAATAATCCGCGCCGCGATTGCTCAACTCGTCGGTGTTAAACTCACCCGCAGTCGTAGAAAGCGTCGCGACGACCGTCGGCGCGGCGGGCCGGTCCGCTTGCGTGTCCGCGAGACTCCGCGATGCTTCTGCCGCAAGACCACAACATGGCGTCGCTACCCGGCGTTACTCTGTGCTGCTACTACGCGAGTCAAGTCGGCGACGCCACTGGAGTATCACTTCTCGATAGTCGAGTGAATTTATCGCGCGCGCGATGTATCCGAAATAAACGTACACTGAAATTCTCTTGACGAAAACGATCGACGAACTCGCGGGTCTTCTTTGCTCAAAATCCATCGAGAGAACAGCGCGCGCGAACGGTAGACGACGACACGACGATTCGTTGACGCTCCGACTGCTCCGCGAAACGAAGACGACGTGCCAATCCACACGATCACGCGCAGTCCCGTGCCGCACGTACGGCAGTTCGAGCGATACAGCGCGACGCACGTCTGACCTCGGCGCGGGTCGCCGCTCGTCTGCCTCGAGCCGCCGCAGCAGTCGCTTGTTTTTTCTCGAGCCGCCGCAGACGTCGCTTGTTTGTCTCGAGCCGCCGCGGCCGCTGCGCGCGGCAAGGTCAGAGAAACCGTTCGGTGCGTCGCAGTATCGTTCGAGCCGCGGTCACGTACACACGTACGCTATGCGACGTGCGCGATCGTTCTCCGTACGATTAAGCCGCGCCGCGCGGCCACGCAATCGAGCGTCTCGATTCCGCGGTTACCGTCGTCGTCGTCGTTGCTCGGAGCGCCGTGCACTTTCGAGTTGCAGAAAGGGCAGATCGTCGAATCGCCGTCCGCGCTCGTTATTCCTGCGATGTAATTCGAGTCGAGGAAAGCCGCGTGTGGATTTTATGTGCGCGCGTTTGCTCGAGACACGTCGCGCGTGCGACATCAAAGTTGACACTCGGGTGACTCGGGTCGCGTCGCCGACTTGACTCGCGTAGTATCGCGCGGAGAAACGCCGGGTGACGGGCGCGCCATGTTAGTCCTGCGGAGAAGCATCGCGGACACGCAGCGGACCGGTCGTCGCGACGCTTTTCACGACTGTGGTGAGTTCAGCACTGACGAGTTGAGCAATCGCGGCGTGGATTATTCGAGACTCGCGCGTCTCGACGATCCACCTCGAGAATCCCCGGCCGGAATCTTTGGGCGCGCCGCCGGTACACCGAGCTCCAGTTTCAACTCGCGTCTCTTCGCGCGCGTGTAGAGACAGTTCTTTCCGCGCGTGACGCGCGGCGAAAGAAATGTTGACGCGAGGTCGCCCCCTCGTCGAACGCGCCTCGCGTTCGGTCGCGAGACGCGTCGAGGAGCCTCGCGTACCTCCGAGTCCTTCGCGCCGGAACGTTCCCGCCATTTCGCGCGACGCGTATTACTTCTTTCCGCGTCGGTTAACGCCGAGTGTCCTGCGTCGCGCGTTACTCGGATATAGTTTGCTTCTCTTTCGCGAGTGCCAGTGCGAAATGGAGGAATCTGAGAGGAAGCGGCGCCCTGGAAGGCATCGGGCGAGCAACCGTCTGGTGAGTACAATTATTCACGCATTATTTTCTGCGCTAACTTCATTCCGCGGAGTGGTTTTGTTCGCCTTCCCGTCTATTCGACTCGGCCGCTTGAATTGACGAATGATTCGCACGAGCCTTCGTCTACATATGTGTACTGAGTGCGCGTACGACCTAAATAAGTACAAATGTAATGAATCGAATGTTAGTCGGACCGTGCGCGTCGTTTCTGCGAGCCGTGATTGACTCGTACGATCCCCCGAGTTTCAAGAAATCTCTCGCTTCGCGGCGTGAATTTACGGTGAAATTACACGCGATCGCAAACATGGACGGATAACATGGCGATAGCGCGTAATCTCGCTCGCTAATCCCGGCGTTAATTAACAAACGTACTCCAAATTTTCGACTGTTACTATTCGCGAGGAAACGCGCCCGCGAATTCACACGCGTTCGGCAGACGGGACGCCAATATGCTCGCAGCGCGTTTCAACAATTTCAACGACGTACGCCAGCAAACATAATTTCTTACTCAACAATATAGACGTAACGCAATACAATTGTTAGTTAGCATTTACTGGGATCTTTATATTTGTGTCGTGCCACCACTGCGTTTCCTTCGCCTGTCGCGCGACACCCGCCGTGTTTGTCGCGCTGTAGTTCACCGGCGTGTTGATCCGCTTGCGAATAGATCCGGGCTAGCCTTCCGTGTCGCGAGAGGCGACTGGTAGCGCCTTGAAATCAAGCAGCTAAAAAGGAGTGCAAGATAGAGAAGGACTATTGGAGTCGCCTTGGATTTCAGAAACATTGCAACAATGTTTTCTGAAATGTTTCCGAAAGCTTTGGTGCTGTATGGGAAGCGCTGTAGTTAACATCTACAGCCGTATTTGATTTTCGATTGAAATCAGGGCACAAATAAATTACGAAAAAGACTAGCACCTCAAAACTTCCGAAGTCACGAAATAATTTCAACTATGGAATATTAAAACTTGCGATATGAATATATAGAAGTACGACACACATTTTACTTCTTTTTGTTGAATTCTTTCGTTGTCGTATTTAACAAACTTGCTCAATATTTTTAAGTGACGGGGGAAATAGAGATTACGGTACTATGTTACTGATTTTTTTTTACAATAATTGTAAAATTTACGCACAAGAGGACAGACGAAGAAAATTCTACCAAGACAATCTCGGTTTATTGAACGTTTTCTTGAAAATGTACATTACATTAGTTCACTCCCTTCGCCGCTAATCTCTTGTCGCGTTCCTCGGCGATCGACAGCTTCACACCCTTGTCTCTGGGCAAACTCACGTACGCCTTCGTGCCTTTACCAATGATGAAGACATTGTTCAACCTGGGCAAACAATTCACAAATTTATATGCAAAGAATAATGGAAAATAATTAAATAGCCAAATGCAAATTCTTATTTTAAATACCTGGTGGCGAAGGTGTGTCCCTGAGCATCCTTTATATGACAGATGTCAAAGGAGCCAGGATGACGCTCGCGACTCACGACGGTACCAACACGACCCAAGTTCCTGCCACCAGTGATCATGCACAGATTACCTGGCGGCCAAAGAAAATTACGCTCGTTATTTTTCTTTTTATATTTCAATGCTTCCTTCTAATTTCCAACAACGGCCAAATAATTACCAGAATCAAATCTGATGGAATCCAAAATTTTGCTAGTGGCAATGTCCAGATGAATAGTGTCGTTCACTTTTATAACTGGGTCGGGATATCGAATTGTTCTACCGTCGTGCGTAACTAGAAACGGTATCCCTTTAGGACCGGTCTGGACGCGCTTTACCTTGCACAGTTTGTACTGCAAAAACATAAATCACATAATGGCAGTTAGTTTTTAATACATAACAGTAATCAAAAAAGAAAAATATACACTTTATTATACGCGTCTCTGTATTTGTAGTATGTGTACGAATTAAAAGATATCTTTATACGCTTCTTATAACGCAGAATATACCAAAAGAACTTTACTATTGGCCGCTTTCGTATTATTAGCGAATTCGGTTACTTGTGCACTAGTGCGCGCCGAATGCACACTGAGGCTTGTTCACAGTTTAAAGCCCGCTGCAGACGAAGCTATTTTTCCTACTGGATTGCTTGCAATCTAATAAATTACCATCATTGCACCACTCAGCACTCAGGATTTCTAGTAATTTCCTAAATCGCAAGCAATCCAGCAGGAAAAACAGCATTGTCTGCAGCGAGCGTAACTCTCTTATATTTAGGATATGTTAAATACATACTCAAAAACTAGCAAAAGAAATTCGTACGAATGATATACAGATCTTTTTAAGGCTTTGTGCGCTTCTTGGGTAGTACAGAAGGAATATGTAACTCGATCTGTGACCAAAATTGAAGAACTTGCTTTATTATTGGCCATTTTTGATCTATGACACTCATGATATTGCAAGTACCATAGCTATGATAAGGCCCATTACTTATCTAAGAATTTCAAGACGTATTTGAGATGGCTCTTAAATATAAAGCCAACGGCACACGATACTATTTTTCCTACTGGATTGCTTACGAGAGCCAATCAGAATACAGTTTTCGATTAGGTGACTCAAAGCTGAATCCTGATTGGCTCTCGCAAGCAATCCAGTAGGAAAAATAGTATAGTGTGCCGTTGGCTTAAGAATTCGCTGTAAACAACTCTGTGTGCACTAGCGCAAGCAACCAAATTCGCTACACGATACTCTTGATATTGCGCCACAGCTTCGATAAGACCCTTTTTTTATACAAAAGTAAACGACATATATATAACATCAAAAGCAATTACCTTGGCCTCCTCAGCAGTAATACGATGGGTGGTGAAACGTCCCTTAACGTCGTAGATCAAGCGGAAGAATTCGCCGGTTTTCTCAATCGTAATAACATCTGAAACAACCGCGACGCTATTATTAATCTATACTTGCTTATATTCGCGTCAGTGCACGAATTGAAAGATATTTTTGTGCCCTTCGTGGGTAATACAGAAGGAATATGCAACTCGATCTGTGACCAAAATGAAGAGCTTGCTTTAATATTGGCCACTTTTTGACTATGGCACTCATGATATTGCAAGTACCACAGCTTCGATAAGGCCTGTTTCTTCTCGTCCAACACTTTATAATGCAAAAACAACAGACGTATTGCAATAGATACAAGATAGCACTCACCCATAAAACCGGCAGGATAATTAGGATCGGTGCGAATCTTTCCATCGACCTTGATCAAACGTTGCATCACGATCTTAGTAACTTCGCAATTGGTCAAGGCGTACTTCAACCTGTTACGGAGGAAGATGACCAGAGGGAGCGACTCCCTGAGTTTGTGTGGACCAGTAGATGGTCGGGGGGCGTACACGCCCCCAAGTTTATCCAACATCCATGCTTTTGGCGCGTTAAGACGCTTGAGATGCTTCTTTGGACCGCGAGCCTGGAAGAGACAATTTTACAATACAATTTTGAAATACTTGACATTAAATAAGATCAGTGATGAAAATTATTAAGTGCTTGCACTTGTGTAAAAAAATCAATGATAAAATTTGAAAGTCGAACAGTGGATTAGACGAACACAAGGATATTATCTTGCAACCAAGTCTGCAAATTTTATCTTGTCTACTTGTATCTGTGCATAAATTGAAAGATATTTTCTGCACTTGTTGGATAATACAGAAAAAATATGCGATTCAGTCCGCGACCAAAATAAAGAACTTTATTATCTCAATATCGAAAGTACCACAGCTTTGTTACGAAATTTGAAAAATGTTCTCATATAATTCGCACAAATTCATTGTTTAATCGACGACTGTACGATCTCGATTTATAGGAACCACTGTTGGACTATCTCTTGCAGAAAAAAATCATTTAATTCTCCAATAATCATACGCAGTGCAAATATAGAAAACGATTTCACGAAGGCTTTACATTTTGTGTGCTAATGTAAAATCTTCCACGTTATCCACGCGAATAGAACGAGAAGCAACGTACGATATTTGTCGCGAGATTTAGGTTAGACCCGAATCTAGGTTAGATTATACTCAATCTCGATTCTACTCGAGCAAACTCGGAACAGCGTTAACTCGAGCGAAAGTACAATTTGTTGTCACTGTCGAGTAATTTTGATGAAACCGTAACGCGACAGACGCGATTGGAAGGAAGCAAAAGATCGTCGAAGCGAGCAGACACGAAGCGGTGACACGTTTCGATACATTCTAATTTTCCTGGCACAGAGATGCATTTAACGTTTCATAAATACATCATCGGACGCACAAGAGTATGCACGGCGATTTTCTCTCGCGCGACAAACTGATTCGCGTCACATACGCGCGATGTAGACAGATTACGCGAACCACAGATAACCTACCATCTTGGATCCCTAAACGGAAAAGACACGAGGACCCGCGTCGTGCGCTCGCATCAGAGAGGAGACGCCATTGTGATCTCTACACGGCTGCCTAGGTTTACGTTACGCTAGATGGCGATCGAGCGTTCAAATACGAGCCGAGCAAAGTCACTAGGAACACGAGAGCCTGATTGGCTGTCGCTCGCCACCTCGCGGCGCGCTATGAAATTCATAAATTTATACAGTAAAACGTCCCACATCTGCGCTTCCCACATCTGCGCGCGTCCCATATCTTCGCTAGTTTCCGTCCCACATCTTCGCGTTTTCAAAAGGTAGCTCCCCCACCACCGCCGCTTTCTGACGCAGATGTTGGGTCAGTTCCGGTCCCGACCGGCGCAGATGTGGGACGTTTTACTGTACTTTTTATTAGAAGCAGAAAGAAACTGAGAGTAGCCACGCCGGCTACCATTTTTACCTTTGTAACTAAAGCGGAGAGCACGCACTTTTGCATAAATGCATAAACATATGCATAACGAATTTGATTGGTCTATAAGCAAATGTATAAGAAAATGGACCAATCAAATTCGTTAGGCACATGCTTATGCACTTATGCAAAAGTGTGTGCTCCCCGTGTATCAATTAATAGCGTTTTCGATTTGCTGACTCGACCCGACTCCGAGTCAGAAAAGTTTGAACAAAAGTAAGATTTTTGCAGAAATTGTGGTTCAAATCTTGCTTTTGATCAAACTTTTCTGACTCGGGGTCGGGTCGAGTCAGAAAATCGAAAACGCTATAAGTAAAGAGAGCGTGGCCTCTTTCAGGTTTCTCTCTGCTATTAATTTTACGATGCGTTTTTCGGACGTACTGAATGGCTGGACAATCAACTGGGCGAATGGCGAGGGGAAGGTTTCCGAGTTTACAGAATAACCAATCGGCACGCTTGAAAACTTTGTATTCGATAAATGAAATAATGGGTCTGTTCTTTATAGCTGAACTGACTGCACTGTAGTTCAGAGCTTATCTTTTTCCCTCCACATTAGAAGGGGAAAAATAAAAGCGGGGAGCACACACTTTTGCATAAGTGCATAAGCAGATACATAACGAATTTGATTGGTCTATAAGCAAATACATAAGGACCAATTAAATTCGTTATGCATATGCTTATGCACTTATGCAAAAGTGTGTGCTCCCCGCTAAACTCTAAACCAGCGCAGCCGGTTCAGCTGTAAAGAACAGACCCAATATCGCGAGTCATTTCTCGCGGGAATTTCAAACTCGTATTCGTACCGCGGGATTTTTATCCGGCCGAGAATAATTGCTCGTATGTTTAATAAATACAGTCAATTTGTTTCTCGGAGTCGTGCACGATCGGACTGCCGAGACGAGAGTCGCCGTGCGCTCCGAGAGAAAGGACGAGCGCGAGAGAAATTGTCACCGTTTACGTTATAACTCGCGGCAATTGGATGCAGAACCGACCGCTCGGGCGCGAAACGACCGGACGCGCTCCGTTGGTGGCGAGTCTCGGCGCGTCGATAAAAGAGCGACCGAGCCGAGATATCCGGACGGACGGTCAGGTCTCGCTCGGCCCTCGCCAGCTCTCGACGCGCCTCCGACTCCGGGTCCCCCTTTAAAACGCGCAATTGCGACAATATGGCGGAACGCTCGCCCGCGCCGGCACCGCTCTGCCTCTCGCAGTGACTCGCGCCTGGTGTTCTCGAAGTTGCGGAAACGCGCGCGGAACGCACGCGAGCGCGCACGTGCAAAGTCGCACACGCACGAACGCCATCGAGACGCGTCGCGCACATACATATCTCTCTCTCTCTCTCTCTCTCTCTCTCTCTCTCTCTCTCCCCCTCCCCCCTTCTCTCTCTCTCTTTTTCTTTCTCTCGGAAGTACTCCGATCTCCGCGTATCCCGTGCTCCGGATATCTCGCGAAACACCGCACGGCGCTCCTCGGCGTCGACCTCGGGGGGATATTATCGATCAGCGTGTCCGTGCCGGCGGCGATGTGCCGCCGCGGATGATGGAGCGCGACCCCCTCGTCGGCCAGGCCGCGTCCCCGCGACACGTTCGCCGCTGAGCAGCAGGGCAAGTGGAAGTGCATCGCTCGGACGACCAGTGACGACGCTCCGTGCACGCCCGTCCGCTCGCCGTTCGAGGTAAGTGCAGCAAGCCCGACGTTAACGCGACGAACGTTTAGCGCGAACGAGCGCCCGGACCCGGCCGCGACCTTTGTATCGCGGCGAGATGGTTGTTCGCGCAGGAACAACGGATCCCCGTTCTCCGCCCGGAAGAGCGCGTTTCTCTCCTACCACCGTCGCGCTCTCGCTCGGCAAGATACGCGGCGTGCGAACGGCGAAGTTACGCGCGGCTCGGCTGACCGCTGATAAAATGTGGCTTTCTGGACGGAGCGATAGCGCGCGGCCGAAGACACCCAGAAACGCAGTATCGGTCTCCTCTCGCCGACTGGCGCCGTCCATTCGGTCGGCTTTAGCCGCGCTTCGCGCGTACCTTTGCGCTCGTCGGGCGCAGGACGTTAGGACGCGTACTCGTTGTTTCGGCAAGTTTTCACGGTCAGTTCCTCGTGGCGACGTCTCTCCCGCACGTCGCGGGACGTTGCCGCGCGTGAATCTCGAACGCGACGTATTTTTCTCTTCCAGACTATGCCAAGTGTTCTTTCTCTCTCTCTCGTTTCCACCGATGACGTTTATATTGTTTTTGCGGAGACGCATTTGGGAAAATTATGCGCTCTCGCGATGCATTTTACGGCTGGCGAAGAAACGACTGCTGTAAGAAGCAAGTACGTTTCCCTCCCCCCCTCTTTAATCTATACGTTTTTTTACTCGCGAGCCGATGGCTCGCTGTTTTATTATTATGTTGACGCGAGCGGCGATGAACCCGGTGTTATTTCGATATGAAGCCGCGCCGATATCGATCGAGCATTATCGCACACACGGAATATCAAAGTTGCGGCACGCGACTGTGCGTCGGGTCGTCCGCACGCACGCGGAAAATTCCGCGGCGCGAGCTACCTCTCTCTCTTTCCCTCCCTCCCGTCAGTCCCGGGACGTGAAATCGATCCGGATCGCATCTTCGACCTGGATGCGACTCGCGCCCGTTTCTGCGTCTGTCTCCTTCGTTCCTTTCACTTTGCTGACGATTGACAGGCGATGACTACGCGCGCGAATTATCACGACTTCCCGCCGCGAGACGCGCGCGAGAAAATCGCCGGCCGTTTACGACGCTTTCTCGCCGTTGGATTTTCGGCGCTTCCCCGACGTCGGTTTCTCATTTTCTGGTTAACTGTTAACCAGGAGTTAGCCGGCTCTTCAGCTTTTTCTGTGGCCGGTGCTCGTAGTCAGGTCTTGTATTCGAGATTGTCTCTCGATCGCCTTTAGATACTCCGTAGCCAATGAAATGTTCCGTACAGCATCTTTAGATAAATTCAAGACGGTCTTGAATGTAAGATCTGACTGTGAATATCGGCCTGTGTTGTTATTTGAGAAGAGACGGAGAGGTCCGGTTTTTTATTTTCTGATTCGCTGTTAACCAGAAGTTAGACTCTTCATCTTTTTCTATGGCCGGTATTCATAATCAGGTCTTGTCTCTTACGGAAAAAAACACTCAAGTTTTAACACTCGATTGTCCGAATTTACTCTCAAATTTGGGCGTAAACACCCAGATTTAAATATTTACACCCAAATTTGAGAGTAAATTCGGACAATCGAGTGTAATCGAGTGTTTTTTTCCGTAAGGGGTATTCAAGACTGTCTTAAGATCATCTTTAGATACTCCGTAGTCAATGAAATGTTCCATACAGCATCTTTAGATAAATTCGAGACGGTCTTGAATATAAAATCCGACTACACTGACAAAAAAAATTTTCTAACTAAAATTATAAATAGATTTACTTAAAATTTTTTTTTACTGAAGGAAATATTTATTTTATTTAAATAAAAATATCAAATTTTAAGTAAATCTGTGTATTATATTAAGTAAATCAATTTAAATCATTACATTTTTTACATTAAAATAAAAATTTCATGAGATAGAGAATAGAGAATATTTATTAAACGAAATAATTGTTTTTGTTAAATAAGAAATCCAATTTTCTTCGCTATGAAAATCACATCTTAGTAAACATTTTATAGAATTAAAATAAAATTTTTTATTAATGCATAATATATATTTAATTTAAAATTATCTATTCTTTGATATTTAACAAATACTTAAATTAAAGCAATGCATGTTTTAATTAATTTATTATTTTTTAATTTAAGTTAAGCTATTAGGAGCCACCTAATGAATAATTTTCTCGAGTAAAGTAATATTTTTTTGGATGAAGATACTTTTTTTATGAGTGTATGAATACCGGCCTATGTTGTTATCTGAGAAGAGACAGAGAGGCCCGGTTTTTCATTTTTTGATGAAATGTTGACCAAAAGCCAGTCGATTATCTCTGTCTCTTCTTAGATAATGATACAGAAAACGGTGGAGAGTCGACTAACTTCTAGTGAACAGTCAACCGGAAAATGAAAAACCAGGTCTGAGTCGACTGACCTCTGGTTAACAATTAACCGGAAAATGGAAAATTATGCGACCTCGATGACCGCGGGAAGATTTGCACCTCGCGATCCCGCGATCGCGACAACTTTTAACGTTGCGCGAATAATATCCACAACGTTGAGCAATTTTAAGCTGAATAATTTCCGTCCATGAGTTTGAAATTCGAAATCGCTTTACAACCGCCTGTTACAGTTCGCTAACAACTCGCGCGGCTCGGAAAATGAAGGGAAACGGAGAGAGGCTGAAGTTCTGAACGCGAATCCCCGCAAATACATTTTGCGTAATACAGAAATTTCATAATTACACTCCCCGCGAGAGGGGGGGGGGGAGAGGGGGAGGAAGGCGACGTTGTTTCCCCGGCGAACAATCGCGCGGACGTCGATCGGGGAAAAATAATCGGAAGACGCGCCCGCGCTAAGTGTTGATAAACGCCGAGCAATCTCGCGTCCGTTCCTCATTATCTTGCATCGCCGAGGCGTCATGTACATACAATCGATACATGCACGTAGTACGAAAAGCTCGCTATTCAAGTG